CATGAAGGATAAAGTGGCGGAGGAAATACGTGGAATCCATGAAGTTTGCCAGAAGAAGCTCTTTCGAATCCGAAATAATCTAAGGAATTCCATTCGGATCCTGATTTCACGACACTTCGAGAGAATGCCGGGGATATTTCAACAGACGACGTCCAAACGTCCTCAGCGTCAAATGAATCAACGGAGTAATTTGGAGCATCAGCCTCCGCAAATCGCTGTCTCTCGCGTCGGAAGACTGGTAGCTTTCCGACATCTTTCCCAGCTCAGAATTCCGAGGGCTAGGAATGAGATCGTATCGTCAGATTGCCCCCAGTATCGAGAGATCTCCCGGAAAACATCGGATAGTCGACGTCTGTCTGTCGGGACAACGAGGTGAGGAATGACTTCGTCACGAAACGTGAAGTCAGTGGCCTTCCGGTGGCAAACATCGTTAAATTGTTGGGAGTTTTTCTTTGATGTTGGTTCGTTCGCCTAGATTGGCTCCTCGATTGCGGAGACGGAACCAGCGGAGAGAGGAGCAGTCAGGACGAGAGGAGGAAATGAAAGAGAAGAAATCAGCGCGCTCCTGATTTCCAAGAAAAAAACGAATCGACGAGACAACCAACAGAATAGTTCTTCTCGGCTCCATCGGACTTTCTCCTCCGCCTCTCGAGTTGAATTTGCAATGCAGACGTTCCATCTGAGGGAAGTGGTGAATGCGCGCGCTCGCACGTCCGTTCACTCGCCCGCTCGGGCACCTTGAACTCGAGTCGAATGCGTTGACGCAGTAAATGCAAGAAGCTAAGATTGATTCCTCACGACGACTGCCATTGCGAAGTCTTGAGCAATCTGGAGCTGTCGACTGCTAACGTTGTCCCTACTGTCGCGGCTCAACGGAACGGAGCTCCCGAAAGCGTCATGCAGCGAATTCCCGGCCTTCGTCGCGGCTTCGTTCACCACGATATCGAATTGTTCGCCCGAAATCCCTTTGCGGAGGCTCCTAGATGTGAACGGCGAATCCGTATGAGATGTTCATTGCTCATTGTCGTCTCGCTATCCAATCTGCCGAATCGAAAACCTGCGTGGGGGCTGCGTTAGAAACTCATAAAGATCACCCCGAGCCCGCCTGCATCTTCAGAACGCGGAGTTGCTATTTTGGGAAATTCCTGTTGGAAGTGATGATATTCAGGATCGACTGTCCTCTATTTCCTCGTTCTTTGAAGGCCTCCATAATGGGGTGTGGCGTCATGGGGTTCCCCACCACCGCCTTGAATGCCAATTTATTCGAAGGCGCGGCATGCTCGTCGACGATCGCCTTACATTGTCGCCCGAACTTACGCTTCGACCGTCGATGACGGTAACATGGAGTACAAGTCGTTGATTATCCCGATCGGCGCTGCTTTCTATGTTGTAACGAAAATCTCAGCGCGAGCTTTGGGCCATACCCGTCCTTTGTTGGGACCGAGAGTGCAGCAATCACTCCCCATTGATTTCCCTTGACGGATGCAACGTCACAAGCATCCAAATTCAACAATGTGTAGGTGTCCTTCACTACGGCAGAAAGCCTCGGCGCGACTACATATTGCGAGGAATCGTCGTCTCCCCCTAGTGGAGAAATCGCGTCATGGACGAAGTGTGGCGAGAGGCTGAATTCTTTGCTGTGGGTGTATTTCGAAAAACCCGAGTGGACCAGCCCAGAGTTCACCCCTCCGAATACAGTCGCTCCATGGCTCCTTGTAATTCGTCGGTCCCCATGGGGATATTCCGCGAACTCCCTAATTTCGAACATCGTAAACAGCAAACGGGGCTCCTGTTGGCTGTTGGGAGCATCGCATCTCCGAGAGAATCCTCCGATTCGGAGCGTCTACGACAACGCGAAATACAGCCCTAAATCGCAGATTCCGGCACTGCTCGTGGCATGCGATTTTGCGTCGACTTTCATCTATTGAGCGGACACAATAATCCGCCTCGGATCACACACTGCCAATGAACGAGCTCCGTTTTTGAGTGCGACCAATCAGGTCGTTAGATCTGAAACCTTGTATTCAGATGAAATCGCCGATAAACTTCCAATCAGAAGGCTATCGAGCTTTTTTCCCGAGTCGAACATGCTCCAGCAATCCCTGCAGAAAGATTCGGAATCGGTTTCGATAAAGATCTCCCGGGGTTCAAACAAGATCGCTCCCGAGCGGCGGCTGATCATAAAAACTGCGGAATGAAACGCGATTCGCCGAGCTCCTTCGAACTCCGAAATATCGGTCACTAATTAGCTGACCGTCTGCCATACTATTGCGAGCGAACCCGAGCCGGAACTTGACGTCGTTCCCGTTTTTTGACGTAGAACTACGTCATTATGGACGATGTTCAGAAAAATGTGACGGATCTTGTAACGGATGCCCGAATCGGATCGGATTGAGAGTTTCGAAATCGCGGAAGGCTTTCTAGGCGACATCTGGCAAGGGAAATTTGCCAGAGAGGCTATAGGACTCCTCGCAACCGCGTCTTTAGAAAACTCCCTCTGGAACCTTTGAATCACCTCAGTCATTGAGGATCATTGAGCATCGAAACCAAACGTGATGCGTGATGATGGATTGTGGTACTCAATGGTGCCAGAGCAAACGATCGAGCCACTGAGCTAACAATTGTGGTACGAAAGCGACGAACACATATCAGGGTATTAGGGTATCGGTATCCGCACATCGCCTCTAACGTACCGCTGAAGACGAGTCGAATTGTCGGCGCGCCTGACGCATCTCGCGTACACCCGCGTACGCGCCGCCGCATGGCCACCTCACGACCGAACTGAATCATTCAGATGATGAGAACCATATGGACAGGATCCGGCTTCGGAACCGATTTGGATGCTCAATGCCGGAAGGTTGAGTCTCAGCCGTGCAGGATTCGTACGCCGAAAACCTATACAGCCAACGGCACGCAATATTCGACTTTCCCTTTTTACTGTCGGCTGAGACTTTCTCAGATCCCTCATTGCCTCATCAGTGAGTCTCGAGGAACTCTTGAGATATTGAGCAAGGTAGCACCATACTCCTGATTCGCTGAACGAGGGCTCGGGACTCACATCCGGATTTCAACCTGATTGCGATACGATTTCATCGATTAATTCACGGCTTCGCTCGAATGCGGCCGGACTTGATCGGGACTTCATGGCAATAGAAACACATCGTCGAGGACCCAGGATTCTAATGCGCGACCGAACTTCATCGGTTTCATAAGAGTGCGTCCGAACATTATCCTCCGTATCGAGACTTGAGATAATCATAATCATGGATTGAAACGATGAATCTATCTTCGATTCGCTTCATTGACTTCATCGCGCTCTTGCAATAAGACCCCTCGAGCTTGTGGGCGTAGTTCTACGCAACCCACGGGTTTGGCATCTAGTTAAACCTGCACTGAATTTTTCTGGGACGTTCAATCGGAATAAAGTCCACAAAATGACATCGACTAATTTTTTTCAAAAGGAGTCGCGGACGTTGCATAAGCCGGGACGCTAATCGTAAGCTACTGCAACGAGAATTTCCCGGCACGGATTCTTCATATCTACTCCGTCTAGGATCGCTTCTTGTATGGGAAGATTCTCGGGAATCTCCCGACGTCGATCGACGTGATGTAACGAACTGATTCTTAGGCTCGGATCGCTCAGAGGTCGAGGCAACGTCAGCGAGGAGCTGAGTGCGTGTACCATGCGAGCCGTCCGCGCTCCAAAGTCACCTCGCAGGCAGTAAAGTTCTTGAACGTCCTAGACGTCGACGAAGTGACGAGTAGTGGAAGTGGAACGCCGTCCGAGGCAGGAAGTCTCTCACCGTCCTCGCAATATACTTCAAGGATGCACATCTTTCAGAATATATACTTTATCAACTCTGTCGAGCGAGTCACGCTTATTCTTGCTCCTCCCACCAGAGCTTCACGTGGGAGTGTTGCACTTGGAGCTCTCAGTATTGCTTGCTGATCCTCGTCCCCGCGTCGGCGTCGTCGTCTTGCCTTTGGAGCTCGGGTGGGTAGTGGACGGCTTTGAATAGAGCTAGGGGTCCACTTATTAAGTATTGCGGCGGGATCGCTGACAAATTACTCGCGGAATTATCGTGAGATCGTTCAATCCTCGCTGGCTCGTTGGAGGCTGTCGTTGAGCTACCGGCTCAATGGGAATAATCCCAGTTCCGGACCTGAATTTTTGCAAAGTATTATAAACGTACCGGCTGATCGCCCGCTTGTGAGCTATCCTTCTCTGTTAGACTTCCTGTGTCAACAAAAGCCTACCGATAAGGACGGTGTTTCATCTGGGCTCTCCTTTTCCTGGACGGCGAACAATCTGTGGAAAGTGCTTCGGCCGGTGAGGACTGGTAGAAGTCGGCGCCAAACGTAGCCGTGAGAGTATCAGAGATTCAGAAGGAAAACACTCAATTTTACTGTTTGCTCCTCCTTCTTGTTGACACAGTTTTTATTCGTTCGCTTCCTGTCGCAAACATTGTAACAACTGCTGGAGACATGGTCTTGGGTGAGGTATCCGAAAAACGTGGTTCAACAATGATGAAAAAGCAAAGTCAAATTCCGACCTGCGATAAAATTGTGGAACGGAGCGGATATCTCTGCGTCGATATGATCCATCGCGAACAAAGATTCCTAAGGGGGGGGGACGATGGCATCGAATTATTCGCAGAAATAATTGCAAGGAGCGGAAGCGTTCCCCCAGAATTCGGCAATGCGATTAATTTTACGATCAGCTGTGCTGTTATTGTAATCGATTAGCAAAGAATCCTCTCCGCTCAAATCAGACCTCTGTACAGATCACAGGTTTTCCCGTTTCCCGTAATAAATGTGGTAGTCGAGAGACTTCCATCTCTATTCCTATCTATGGGGATGGAGATGGGAGTCTCCCCACTCTTCTCGCGTTTATTTTGTTCAAACCGCTGACGTATTCCTTTGTGCGTACTGAGAATGATTTCGAGTGTTCAATGATCGTGGAAAGCGCTCGAAACTCCTGAGATATCTTCCTGAGTTTGTCATTCGGCCATCTGCCGATTGGTTGCGGCCACGCCGGACTCGTTTGCACTCCTCGGAGCCGGGGGCGGGACGTTCTCTTCATCGAGCATGTCTCTCCTATTATTTGTCAGCGCGAGGTTCCCGATGAGTCGAGATGCAATTTTCTCCTCGAGTTCCGAGGCGATCGCCTCGACCAACACCGTATCGAATTCGAGGACGCTCGAAGTTGTCGCCGGCGTGGCTTTTGAGCATGTTTTCACCGAAGGACATAAAGTCAGCCCGAGCTCGGTGAATGCTTGGGCTCCGTCGAGGAGGTCAACGCTGACGTGCCTCCGATTCACGGCGACCACGGTTTCATAATTCGATTTGGTCGCAGCGGCCGCGGCTGCAGCAACATCGGATTTTCTGTTGCAAGACTTCGTTTCCTTCCGATCCACGTCGTCGTCGGACGACGAAACCGCACGTTCTTCGCAATATCTGGCGTACTGCTGCATCACCATGTAGACAGCAGCCAGCATGACGGTGCACGTCAGCACGAAACCGACGGTAACTCCCACGATCTCGACCGCTGTCAACGGGCCGAACTCTTCCCTGGGCAGGACGTACAACGTGACATTGGCCGTAACTTTGCCGGCGCGATTGGACCCGGTGCAGACGTATGTTCCTGCATCCTTGATGAACACGTTCACTATAGTCAATACGCTGGTTTTTACCCTGCCGAGCGATTCCTCTTCGCTAATAACATACAGTTGACGTCCGAACGACATTAGAGACATATTGCGGATCTGGCGACCGTTGAGCGACCAAGCAATGTCGGTTGACGACGGGGGCTCCGAGTCGACTTCACAACGGATGGTGGCATTTTCCATTTCGACCGCTTTCACCGATGAAGGCACGGACGATAGCTCCGGTGCGCATGCGAGATCGTCCATCGATAACGCACTCCAAGATATACCTGCAAATTAGCGATATTACTCCATACGAGCCTCGCTATCATTAGTCCTTAATCGAGTTGTAGCTCCCACGAGGAACGAGCGCTTCCCTGTGCCCAATTCTGCATTCTCCGACAATCGACTCCCTCACCTTGAAGTCGAGGTGGGTTCTGGCACTTCGGTGGAGCCGATAGAGGAATGTTGTTGTCTAACATCCATTGACGGAGATGACGCAACTCGCAGTCGCAAACCCAGGGGTTTTCCTGGAGGGCATAGATGGGTACATGGTCACGAAACGAGCTTTCAAGTCTCAAATTTGATACAGCAGCACTTCCCCGAGACGGGAATGAGCCCAGGTCAGAAGTCAGGTGGGAGCTTCCCCGCCGCAGATGCAGCGCGCAAGTTTTTTCGTTTTTTTCCGCCGGGATCGAATTGCCGATTCGACTAGGTATCACTTCGGGGATTCAGCTCTCCTGGCATGCTATCTCGCGCAGGGGCCGGCCGTTCCCCTCGTCCGGCTGCGGCGCGAGCAGTTAGGAGCAACTCGTCAGCAATCAGCAGTCGCGCGAATGCGGAACGAGTACAGGCCGGCTACCCCTCTCAGGGCAACAAGTTATCCCCTCAAGTGGCGTGTAGGGTACAGATAGCACATTGTGTAGGGCATAAGAGCCAGGCGCAAGAACATCGTCGAAAATAATCTAATCCCTACCTCGAGGTTCACTCCATAGAGCTGCGTGGGAAGTTGGTCGGTCAGGGCGGCCGACTGTAGTCTCGAAAGGCGGTTGTGCGCCATTCGAAGGAACTCCAGACCCCGCAAACCGCGAAACGCTAATGTTTCAACGGTGTGCAGTTGACAATGGCTCAGCTCCAACGTGCCCAGTCGTGACAGTCCCTGTAGAGACAACGCAGTGAGATGTGCGTGACAGAAATCGGTCGCCGATCGATATTCCTCGATATTTGTCGGATATATGCTGGGCGTGAAGCCCACGTTTCGGTCACGAACGCTTGGGTGCTCAAGACAATTCTCCATCACCACGCGGAAATTCGTAAGGGGGACAAACGCGAAAAAATACTCCAATACAGGAGCGGAGTCGGAATCTCTCGGAGAGGTGTCTCGTCTCGCGGTCCAGGATTGGGAGTACAGTGGGGGAAGGATCATTGTAGCGAGAGATGGTTCAGTTCGCTCAACTGACTGAGGTGAGATACACTCTGACGAGGCGATGCTCGCCGGCGGTATGTACTTACTCGGAAAGCGTCGTCATGGAGAGTTTCAATCGGGTTGTGGATCAATGAAAGCCTCCGGAGGCTGGTACAGTCTGAAAGAGCTTGGCTAGGAACACTTTGAAGTCGGTTGAAGCTCAGATCTAGTTCCACAAGGTTCGTCAACAGATAGAACGTATCAGCAGCAACCTGCGTCAGGTGGCAATGAGATACGAAAATCCTCTGGAGACTCGAGTATCCTTTACTGTGGAACTCTCGTGACCCCAGCACGGTCAGCGCGTTGCCAGTGAGGTTGACCACCTGAAAAACACTTTTCCTGTGAAACCGAGGGAATGGGACGCCGGGAAAACCCATCTCTGGCTAATCTGGGAAGCAGGAGGAGTTCTTCGTGGACCAGAACGGAGGAGATCCGCATCCGCATTCGAATCGGAGGACGTCTACAGGCGAATCGAATATCTGATACCGTGCCACCTGGCGAACATCGCTCGATTCGTTCCCGGAGAACAGCCGCAGCGTCCTTGATATAGAGTGGAATCTAAGATGGTATATATTGCGAGACAAACATAAAGCATGTGGGTTTCATATTTCATCGTGGCGCCAGCCATACACAAAGCCGCATGGATCCATTCAGAGTTTTTCCCCCTGCTCTGTATCGCTCACTCCCCGAAATCTGACGTGCGGCAACGTAACATCTCCTCTTTCACAGTCGCTTCGCGCGCCGTGTGACGGCGTTTTCTCTTTTTCTGAGTCCGTTTGTGCGTCTTTCCCGGACGTGTGTTGGTTCGTCTGTTTGCTTCCCCCCTCCCCCTCCTCCTCCCTACCAGACATCTGATGGTGAAGAATGAGGGTCCTCCTTTCTCGTGTCCCGCTATGCCTTTATTAAAACGCCAGTGGTGTCATCGGAAGACAGCCTCTCGCGCGCTAGCTCGACACTTCGCTAGCTAGTCGTCCGGCGGGCAGGCAGCGCACCGAACGCTGCTCCGCCACCTGCACCCACAAAGACTTCAGCTGGCTTAGCATCTTTGCTCGGAGAACGGCTGTCTTTGCATTGGCTGTCTCTCGGACTCTCTCTTTCTCTCTCTCCCTCTCTCGGCCGCCGAGTCTCTAACCTGAGTTTCCGCGCGAAGGCCCCGAGGCACCTCAACAAGTTGAGCGCCAGCACAATCTGCAGTCTGTTTCCCTCCCGACCACTTGCAGAGGCACGGTGCGCAGTCGTCAACGTCTTCCGCCGCCGCCGCTGCCTCCGTGACTGGGAGAGGCGGATCCGTCTCGAACGTTCCGAGGACGACGGTCGCGTTCGCCATCTCGTTGATGCTTTCGTCGTAGACGTCGTCCACGGCGAGACAATTCACCGGTATCGAGATCTTCGATAGTAGAATGAGCAGTAGAAGCCTAACGAGCCGATGGTCTGGTTGCCACGGCCGTCTCTTCGGTGAGAAACGCATTTCGCGTCCCTTTTTCGCTTCAGTCCTTCTGCGACCACGTCGACGTCGTTGACACGACTCCAACGTAGGACCAGTCGGCTATCTTGTCAAGTATTCGCTGGGCCATCCTTTTCTCTCTTCCTCCTCCGCTGTCTGATGCCCGAACGATCGGCGTCAGTCAGTTGAGCTCACAAGATAGTTAGCTGACTGGCTGGGTGGGTGGCCGGCCCGACGGCCGCCCGGCCGGCCCGCTGTTCGGCCGAGTCACGATACGGGCCGCAGAGGTCTGCAAAGGAGAATCGTTCCCAATTAGAAAGCTCGTCTCGAGCACTCCATCGGTCGGGGCTAAGAGGTCTCATCTACGAACTCGCTAAGAGAGCGTATTCGAGCTTCGACCGGAGTTCGATCGCATGCACAGGGACGGTTTTCAATTTCGTATGAACTCTTTTTTTCATTTGCCTAGGGAGCGTCTATTAACTCGAACGGAAGTTGACCCTTAGTTTTCAACGCGGCTTCGCTTGACGGTGTCGGCGGAGACGGAAACGAGGCCGCCGTCAGACATCTAATTTCAATTAATGATTTTTGCACCGTCCGTCAACCAGTTTGGATTCTTTCGGATCTCCCTTTCGCTACGTCTCTCGAGCTCGCGAGTCCTCCCGCAGGATAGTCTCACGTCTCACCCGTCGAGTGGAAGATTGGCGGAAACTTTTTCAAGCCTATCTCTCGGCCCGAGTCCCCCGGATGAGTCGAAACCGTTTCCGGATCTCGCCGTGCTGTTTTTCTCGCGTAAAATCGCGGGAAAATCAATCGGTGATGAGACTTCGGATCTTCCCAATAAGTTCGGCGGATTGGAAACCGTCGGTGGGCGGCTCGTGGGGCCGCTTTTGGGCTAAAAAGACGCGGAGAACAAGGAACGAACGGGCACGGGATAGACGGTAAATGAGAGAGGGCGAGAGAGCATAAAGGAAGGAGCCGGTGAGAAGAATCTCGACTTTTCGAGTCTAGGCACGTTTATCGTTTCCAATCAAATCATCGTCTTCCAATGAACGCGGGCTCTGGATCGGAACTCGCGAGGGAACCGAGCCCACCGAGAGGAGTAGTTGATGAAGACGTCTATTGCTCACGTCCTCAGGTTATTGTAGCGAAAAAGCGGAACGTGAACTTCGACCTGCTCGAGAATCGCGAGCTTCGATTTTATTCGGCGAAAAACGACTGCACTCCCCTAACGACTGAACTGAGATTGCCCGCAGAATCTCGCGAGGCCTCGCTCAGCATGCCGTGTTTGTTTTCCTGTTGATCCTCTCCCGCGAAGATAATTGTCGAATCGATTGCTCGTCCTCCTTCTCTCCTCATCCATCTCTCCTATCGGAGCGTAATGGCGTCCCGTCACCCTAATGAGTTTACTTTTTTTGGCATCGGTTTCCCGAACGCAGCAGGTTGCATCGGGACTCTGGGGTCAGGTGTTCCTGATCAAATGAGTCTGTGGTGCGGCGAAATCACCTATCCGAGCCACATTGCTGCCGATGAACATTCGAGCGATTTTCCCCCATCGTCGGGACATCCTTCCCCTTTGGCTGTTTCCGTAGAAACAGGCAGACCGAGCAACGGAACGTCGCATGAGCGGTTTTCAGTTCCTGCGTGGAGCTTATTTTCTGGGAAAGCCGTTTAGTCCCACCAACTTCCCAGGAGCGAAATCGACGGCGTCAATCCACATCCCGCGGGGACTTGTCGTTCCTCGTTCGCGCAAAGCTGCTAGGCAGACTTCTGTATTCCGTCCCCGAAACTGAAGCTCTTCCCCGATATTCGCAGGCGGAGTTCACCTTCGATATACGTAGTTCTACAGTAAAACACCAATGTCGCTCATTCGAGCCATCTGTGCCACATGATCCCCGCATCGCAGTCACGGGCAGGCTCCAACGCCGTTTGCATTCGATTCCGAGTGAGTTTGCACACGATCCGCCTCAAACTCCGACTCGTGGCGCCTGACGCGGAGCGGGGCCGGTCTCGACAAGAGCACTTCAGCTACAACAACAAACTACTCCGCCAGAGGTCAAAGTCACTTGCAGTGTTTTGCTCTCGGACAGCTAGACAAACACCGCACAAGAGGATATGCTCTCCCGTCGAAGCTTCTTTACGAAATTTTCAAACTCGTTCCACGACGGCATTTTCCGGCGCGACGACCTCCGCTTGGGACAATGGAATGCTTTCACCCTGCAGCTGATGGATAAGTTATTAGCGGAGCTTCAGAGGCTGGTTTCCGGCGATGTTTCCTTTCGGAAACCTCGGAAACTCTTCCCGTTCGAGCGTAATTAACTTTTGAACTCCAGGACACTGCAGCAGCGCCGACTAGTCAACAGCAGCTACAGCGATCTTCGGCCTCCCCATCAACAACTCGTTGGAGCGTCCCGTCAACGAGTCGAGAGGAAGAAGTTCTATCCACGAAATTCCTCTTTGTTCCCATCTCATAGGGGTATCCTGCTGATCGAATTCGAGTCACTCGCGATGACTGCTCCTCGAAGGGGAGGTAAATTTAGAACAGCGTTCGAGGGAGCTTCGCACAAATCGCTCGGGTGGGCGGAGGAACGCCTCGGAGGGCTTGAGGGAAGGAGTTGATGAATATTTCCAATTTCCTATCGAGCTCGTTTTCGGCTTGCATCACAATGACCCGGTGGGGAAATGAGGACAAGCGTGCCCGGTCAGGAGCGAGTCGAGAGCCGAGTTCGGATGACAAGATTACGCACGCCGCAATTTTATTTCGATTGTTACTCTCTCCGCCCTCGGAACTTTCGAAACCATTAGCGCGCGGGAGATAACGTTGGGGAGCGGTCGGCAACCGAGTTCCTTACTTTCCATGAGGACGACGAGGCTGACACAGGTGTTCTCTGTCGGTTATTGATTCCTAACTATAGAGCGAAAGTTTCAATCTGGCGGAACTGACTGCTCCTTCCGCTTGCGTTGCCTGCAGTCTCCGTTCGGAGCCCTTGAGAAAGCCACGAAGCAACCTGCAACTTCGTCTCGCCTCTCTCAGAAGATGAAAGAGGCCTCATCACAGCCTTCTAGAGACCTCCTCACAGGAATTAGTACCAGCCGGGCTTCTCTCGTCAGATGAGTTTTTCCCTGTATGGAAGGAACCTTGGAACTTGAGCCCTGGAGCTGTTCTGCGGTTCCCGCGGGATTCGCTATAGCCCCATGCGCGGATAATGTGAACTGGGGGAATCCCCCATACGTGACGATAGTGGGCGGTATTTCAATATGAATCAAGCGACTTGAAAGTACCGCACCTTATCGATGCAGCCTCAGGGGAACGCGCGATTGTCTCACGGGCTGGCGACGACGATGCGGAGATCGAACTCCGGAATGAACCCCGGTCGCAGTCCTCGGGTAATCGAGAGCTCCACAGAGTCCCGATCGAGTCCAAGTGCGTAGGCGACGCCCGCCCTCGTCTTGCCGGAGTTCTCGTTTGCTCACGCCCGTTGATTCCTACGCCCGTTCAAAAACAAACTCGCGATAAGAGCGCGCCGCTTTCGCTATTAGGACATCGGCGCTGAAAGCTGGGTTCATGGGTTTGCATAAAATTCTAGCACGTACTCGAACGTACGGATGGACGAACGGCGCGCCGTCCGCCGTAGAATTAAACAAGGCATGACTGAGATGTACGCAATAGCGCGTATGCGATCAACTGTGCCTTCGTTCGCTCAACCCACTCGCCCATCCTCCAGCCTCATCTGGCCTCACACCCACTGGCACGCACGCTACCGTGCCCACATTCGTGTCCAAGGCTGTCAAAGCGAATGATCGATAGATGCCGAGTTTTGGAATAAAGGCTGCCGAAGAGCACGCTGTGAAACACTGTGGAACGCGTTCGACAAACATGAAGTCACTGCGTCGGACACTTCCACGGCACGGCAGAACTAGCACCGTGGTCACGTTCGGATCGGCGAATAATTCTCTCTCACACCTCAGCTCACTCATTTTTTTTCGAATCTTCCTGGCCTTCTGTCCGCCTCTCAGGGCTCACAGAAACGAAACGACTCTAATCCGACGTGCTTCGTGAGTAGGTAGGTGGGTACCTATCAGCTACCCTTCTTTCGACGGTTCCTGTTTGTGCTGAGGCTTACAGTGAGTTAGTTCCTGCAGTGAGCGGGACGTTAAGATGGGGAGGAAGGCAAAATAAAAAAAGAAGCATAAACCCCGCTCTCTGAAGAGTCCGACGATATCATCAGCAGGCCGCGAGAATCCGAGGGTCACAGGGGAACGAACGAGCCGACGCCGAGGAACGACCAGTAGAAAGGAGGACAGAGTGGAACGAGAGCCCCGATTCAGTCGGAGGTAAAAATTGAAGGGGAAAATGAACGGCGTGGCACCAAAACGAATGCAGGAGAAAGCCGACAGCAGCTGAACATGGTTTGTTGTGTAATGAATTCTAGTGTTCCATTTTTCAGGAAGGTAAAAACGGTTTCCGAGCCGCCGCCAATATCCCCATTGGTGCAACCATTCTCGCGTGTCGTCCAAGGGAATTCCAGCCGCAAAATCGCCGCCCTCGCTCTCTCTGGTTGCGTGGCTGGTAGTCGGCTGTGGATTGCAACACTCACTCAGACACAGGCACGGCGAGGGGACGTAATTATGAGTGATTTATTTTCTATGGCATGTTAAGCGTTCCATACAAAAATAATTAAGCAGCATGCCCGCCGACGCCGCCGCCACCGCCCCCCGCAAAACCACCACCTCAACTGCCACCGCTGCCGCAGCTTCCACCTTCTCCGGAAACAACGCCAGCACAAGTGCCGCCAACGAATGCGTGTTGCTTCGGGATCCGTCGGCAACGTCACCTAATCTGCTCTAGGTGTAGGAGATTAATTCGTCCACTAATGAATACGGCCGCGCCGGAGTGACAGAAAACATGTATTCGGGTCGTTCCAGGGCTTTGTCGAGTTCGAGAACTCTTTCCTGAATTTTTGACCAAGGTCGTCTTCCGCACTGTTTCCACGCACGCCACGAACGAATACCCGAGATCGAATGGT